GCTCTGCTCTGCTTCCAAATGCTCTTCTGAGAGTTGATTTTTCTCATGAATGGTGTTATAGTCAGCAGGCTCTGTACGCTGGCATTTATATAACAAGTATTTCCCAGGTTTGGAAGTCCATAATGCAAGTTCAAGTTGGTTTTTTGAGGAACTGGTTTAGGGACTGTTGTGGTCTCTCTTTCTCCAGTTGTTTGTGTGAGTGGGGCTGGAGCAATTTTGTTTTTCCATGGCCTCCATTTGACGCGGGCCGTGGCTTCTTTTCCTGTATCTGGCGCTGTCGTTTGTGTGAGTGGAGCTGGAGCCACTTTGTTCCTCCGTAGCCTAAATCCAGATATCCACTTTTTTGATAGAGGCTTGTCCTTTTTCTCAGAACCTCGAAACAGGCTCCTCAGCCACGAAAAGCATCCATTGTTGGTTGACTTGGAGTCCTCATCACGGGCCACACTTACAGGTGCGGAGGCCTTTCTGACCTCTTGAATATCTGACCCCTGTGATTGTCCACGCGATAGCAAGACACTCAACAACATTGTGATTGTGGAGTACTACTACTAACTCTACCAATACTACTACTACTATACAGTATATACGAACCGTGATTTCGAACAGTGGACTGAAGATATATATCACCCACAAGTCAGACCAGTCCTATCCATCTCTCCAAAGCTGATGATGGGATCTAGAACTTGTGACATCATTGTTACCATGGTGATTAGATAGGGAGCGTCGCCATGGTGACACACAGGGAGTCCCAGCAGCGACTATAACTTTTGACTATAAGCCGGACTTCTGGCTGTGTGAAACATTTTGCGCACATAACTTGGTATAAAATAGAGGCCAGTGCAGTCATTTGTGTAAATAAACAGTTTTATAATTCAGAGAAAGGTCATCATTGGGATTCGTTCATCGCAAACGAACCACCTTCACCTTCATCCTGTTTCTAGCGAGTGCGTGCACCGGAGCTATTGGATTTTCTAAAACCTAAAATGGCTGAACAGAAAATGCTAATTTCACATTTTCCGCCCACTCTCCCTGTTGTGTAAAGGAAAATGCTGGATGTTTGGTTTGGTGGAGAGGGAGGGGAGAGGGGAGTGGTTTCCTGTTGGTGCTACGGCTAAGCTAATAAAATCGCATACGGCATCTTTAAATACACTATAGTTGGTTCAATGTATTACTGTATCCTTTAAGTTAAATATACAGACAACAAAAACATAACATTTATAATATTATTTGAGATTGTGCGACCTCAGCTTTAAGATGACACATATGGGACATCTTTTAATCTACTTGAATAAACTTGGAAAGCATAAAACAAATGAAAAACATAAGTAAGAAATGGGGATTTAGATCCAGGACTGAGGCTGCAGAACGAGGACTAAAGCCAAGCAATGTTTTTCACAGTTGTTCAGAATGTAAAGTCCTGGATGTGATTGTAAACTGGTCTAGAATAAAACAGATCTGAAATGTTTCTGAAGCATCTGGAAAAGATAATAACTGCATTTGACAGTGCTATGGTTTCTTTTATCTTACTGTAATTCATTTTTGCATAATCCTAAATCGCTGCAGCAGTCGCCTCAGAGTTCTTTACAAAGTTGTGAGTTCGCCAACAACAGATCAGAGAATCAAACCGTTCCAACACAGGAAATGCAGTGATAAAAAAACACATATCTATTTAGCTGTGTTAAAATAAACGGGGCGACAGTGGCTCAGTTGGTAGAGCATTGGCAGTGAGCCTGAAGGTCATGGGGTCGAGCTCACCACAAAAGACTTACTTCACGACTCTCACTGGTGTCTGCTGTCGTTACTGATAAGAACAGACACTACACTTGCTCTTAGCCAAAAGGCCGAGAAGCAAAGCCACAAAACGTGGCAGAAAAAATCTGCATTTCTGCCGACAAACCTTTGGCACATGGTTGACACAGAAAAGAAAAGAAAAGAAAAGAAAAGAAAAGAAAAGAAAAGAAAAGAAAAGAAAAGAAAAGAAAAGAAAAGAAAAGAAAAGAAAAGAAAAGAAAAGAAAAGAAAAGAAGCTTTCCTTGTACGTGAGACCAGGGGAGAGCGCGTACGCAGTCCCCCACTACCAGAAATGATGTAGTTGAGATTCCCACATTTGGGGAATTCACAAAGGTCAGCGCACCCTGTCAGTGCAATGGACGAGCCTCGCTTTGGGTGAACCATCTTCATGATCATGGACTCGCCCCTGCCAGGTAACTATGATTTGCTTGGATCAGAGCCACGCCCCTTTGACAACAACAATGAGATTGGGTGAAAATGACCAGCCTCTTGTCTGGTTATTTCTTTAAACATCACGTAGGAAGCCCCGCCCCAGGGCATCAAACATTTTCCTCTTATTCACCATGGCAACCATAGTTATGCAATAGTCACTATGGCGACCATCACTATTGGAATTGTTATGTCAATGGACACCTTGGAAACCGTGACATCCATCTCTATGGCACTGGTCACCTTGGAAACCGTGACATCCATCTCTATGGCACTGGTCACTATGGAAACCATAGCTATGCAATAGTCACGATGCCGACCATCACTAGTGGAATTGTTATGTCAATGGACACCTTGGAAACCGTGACATCCATCTCTATGGCACTGGTCACTATGGAAACCATAGCTATGCAATAGTCACTATGGCGACAATCACTAGTGGAATTGTTATGTCAATGGACACCTTGGAAACCGTGACATCCATCTCTATGGCACTGGTCACCTTGGAAACGGTGACATCCATCTCTATGGCACTGGTCACCTTGGAAACC